TTTAGGTCGGTATTCACTGTTTTTTTAGTAGTGTCATATGGTTGACAAATCAGATGACAAATAAAAACATATTAAAGATATAATATTATTATAGTTTGGTCAATCAACCTACATATTAAAAACTAATACTAAAAAAACATAAATATGTTTAGGAGAGAATCTCCCCCATAAACTAAACTCTTAAAGAACTACATTGTGGATGCTATTGTGTTCAGCTTTGAGCAGTGGCGGATCTATGAAGGGCTGTGGGGGTGCCACGCCACCCCCGAACTTCGACGGAAACTCTATATATACATAGGTATATATATATAATATTTATATAAATATAAAGCGTGTCACCCACTGAACAAAATTGGCTTGTGGTGCCAGCCTTCTTGGTCGAAGAGCCCCTTTTTTACTAGTAAGGACGCAGGAAGCAAAAAAACTTGCGCGAAGGACGTTTTCTTCTCTGCCCTCTCCTCTCCAAAGGCCAAGGGAGAGACTGCATCCCTTTCCTTCGGTAGCTCTTTTGGTTTCCCAAGGATAGTGGTAGCTGGGGCAAAGCCCGCTTTCTTCGCTCCGCGAATGAGAGACACGGTAGGAGGGCAACTTTTAGAAAGGTTTGAGGTTGCGGGTTCGAATTCTATTTGGCACCCACGGACTCTAAATCCTGGATCCGCCACTGGCTTCTTTTCTTTTAGGAAAAATAAACTTCAAATAAGGTAAGAAAATCAGGGCAAAACCCTAATAGAAAGACCCTGAATTACAAATTCCACTAGGTTTAGACCTCATAGAATTACTGCTTCCAAAGATTTGGATTTAAAAGTGCTTGATCTAATTAATGTAAATTCTCAGACTTGAAAACTGAACGGATTAAATAGACCTTTTTGTTTAAATTTAGTGTTAACGGATTAAATAGACTTTTTTATTTGAATATAGTGTTAAAGGATTAAATTCACCCTCTTTCTCTGTCGAGGTAGTGCATAAAACAATAAAGGAGAACAAAAAATCAACTATATCCTCTTTGATATAATCTCAAAAGAAATCATATATAACCGTTACCACCAATTAAAACACACGATTAGAAGAAATGTAAAAAGAGAAAAATTAGCTAAACATCCACTTGAAATGACATAATTATCATAATATCGATGCAACTTTATTGACTGAACAAAAACAAGTGTTTGTACGCCTTTCTAAGCTCTCAATGCTAACTATAGCTAAGGGTCGTTATAGGTTAGCCCAATCCAATCCTCTCGAACTAGGGTTGACTCCTCCCAGTTTTCCTTTTAAAGAGAAAAACTAAGAAGTTGGAACTAAATACGCAAATTCAAGAAGTTGAGTGTCACGTTCCAATACAAACATGTCTTGTTCACTTAACATCACAAAAGCATCAACTCCACCACCTTGATTACCCATCAAGTAAATTATTTTACCAAATGGGCCATTTGCTACACTCACTTTTATAGGCTTCCCCCATCCAAAATCTATTTCATGAAATGGAAATTTTACTACACTACTACAAATATAAGTGTCACAAGTACAACTACTATGGTACATTTCTTCCTTTGCTAAAGTTGATTCAAATATTTTATCAACCAATACATTTTGCTTCACATTATCTCTTTTGTAAGCTTGTTCTTTTCCTTTTCTCATTTCACTAACTATTATTGATAATTTCATGTTTTCTTCATTGTATATTGATGTTGGAAAAGATGTGAGGACATTTCCTACTATATTTAGTGGCAAATTCAGTTGATTTCGCAAATCAATAGGTTGAACCAATGTAGAAGGGAGAAATGAACCCGAATTTGCCTTGATCACGAAAACAATGCTTTTAAAAAGAAGTCCGCTAACAACTTCTGTACGTGTTAGATTTTGGATTTTTGTTTCCGCGGCAACTAGTGTCTTGAGTTCGTGTAATTTTGAAGGTGAAAAGATATACCTATAAAAGAAAAAAAGAAAGATTTTGAGACGCGAACATCTTTAACTTTTTAAAGAGATATAATCCATATATTGTTTGAGAATATATAGACAAGTTATTCCAAGATATAGTGATGCCACTAAATATAACAAACATATTTAATTTCTAATCATAGATCGTTATTGTAAAGAACTTTTTACAATATCATCTAAATATGTAAGACTTCCTAAAATGAGGAATTTGTAATATTGAAAATAAAACATGTATTACCTGTTATAACATTTATATCTCAGTCTTTTCACAAATTTGTTTCAAAATTTCGTTATATACATGAAGCGGGTGTAAAAGTGACCTAATAGTGAAATTTTTTCTTACATTGACAATGTATAACTTAAAATCATATTTTTGTATATATTTACAATATTCTTTACCTTAAAATTTCTTTTTTCCGCTCTCAATGACATGCTCTTATAGCCATAAAAATATCATGTTTGAGATAGCAAATTTTAGGGGAACTTTGGTATAATATGTCAAAAGTTATTTTCTTTTTCTCTCAACTTTTGTGTCTAATCAAACACCGTCATATAAAATTAAACGAATAGAATACAAACTAAAAATACCTTCTTTGTACACAATCCTCTTTTTTTAAGCCAATCACTGGGGAAGTTAAAGGACCATTTGGAGGAGATGGATAAATAGATTGCTCCAAATAGGAAATAGATGGTTTTACACCATTTGGATTACTTGTTATCTCAGCCCAATCACGAAACATATAATAACTATTGCATCCATCTCCAATTTTATGTGAACTACACATACTAATAGCTATTCCTCCACAATTAAAATAGCTAAGTTGAGCTACGATTAGTCCATGATTCGTACAATTTTTCCAAGGTAAATTTTCAGGAAATACTGCACGTTCAATAAGCGCGTTATGGCAATTAAGAGCCTCAGAAATTGGACTATCAATTTGTACTTGTAAGAACTCAGCTCCAGTGTCATCACAATCGACGATAGTGTTATCATGTAACCTCCCACCATATGGATAATATAAGGTTAAAATTTGTGAAAGAGAATTCTCAAGAATTTGAGATATTTGAGAAGGGCTTTTTGGAATTGAATCAAGTTGTTGTTTAGTGTAGAAAAGGGCAAAGGGTATGTAAACATTTGCTATGGCTTGATCTATAAGAGAAAGTTTGTGCAATTTTTTTGTAGGAGGAGTTGGGGATGAGGGTTTGATGATTTTTTGTGAAATTAGTAATGTTGAAGGTGACAATATAGTTGAGACCATTTGGCTAAATGTTAGTAGTAATATGTTAGTTTGGTGTCTTGAATTGTGCACAAACTTGCCATTGCCCAAGTTGGACTTATATAGCCTTGAAGATTGCTAGGGACAAAATAAAATAGGAGAAACTACCTCATTAGACATACAACAATATCATATATATTATTAATTTTATTTATACTTATAAATTATTACGTATCTTACCATTAATTAAAAAATTTCTATCATGTATTGAGGAAGATATATACACCTAGATACATGTATTTTTGTTACTAGATACACTAAAATAGGAGAGAGGCGAGCGAGATAGTCATGTATTCCAGATACATGTGAATCGTACTAGATACATGTATCTCTATGTATTTGGGGTGATTCACGTGTATCTGGGATACCTGTGAATTAGTGGAGGTTACACAATTCGTCCTCTATACTTGGAATTATTTCTTGTTCCAAATCTTTGACGTAACTCTCTCTATATTTAGAATACAAACATGATGATTAGTTGGACCTTTTACATCACTCTTTCTATATTTAGAATATGAACATGATGATCAATTGGACCCTTTACGTTACTCTCTCTATATTTAGAATACAAACATGATGATCAGTTCAACCCTTCACTAATTTATATTTTATTTGATTGACCTACTACTTTCTTTAATTCAACTTTGATTGTTGTGAAAGTTACTAATTAAATAAATTTATTTTATTCTAATTCGATAAAAAAAAAAAAAAGAGCAAAATTACGCTCGATAGATTTTGAAGTAAAATTTTGACCCAAAATCCTGCATACTATAAGTAACGTCTATACAAAATTAGACAACAAGCAATGCAGGTAATTCACTGTTTTCAAGTACATTGAAACAATTAAGTTTACATTTTGCTCATATGAGCTGATTAGTTACTAGTCTGCCTATTTTTCGCTTCCTTTTATATAGTTTCTGCTATTTCTAATTTATTTTTGAAGTCTACTGCGATTTTTTTTAGTATAATTTTTTTTATAACTGTTTAGAGTCTAGTGTAGTTTTTGTGTGTTGCATATTTTAAAATTGGCATAACACGTAAATGTATTCTTTAATTTAATTTGGTTTAATCCGGCATTTATGTTCTTTAACTTTGAGTGTGCACAAGTAGACAGTTTAACTTGTATAAAATTAAACATATAGATGCATGCATCCTACGTGGCATCCTAATGACAATTTATGTCCTATGTGGAGTCCTACATGTATCATGTCACGTAGGACACGTGTCTATTTGTTCAATTTTATACAAGTTTAAGTATTTACTTGTGCACCCAAAGTTGAAGAGTATAAATGTCAACTAAGTTAAATGACATATTTATATATTATGCCTTTAAAATTTGATGTAACTTTCTTGATGTTTATAATTAAATCTCTTTTTTCAGCATTTCCATCAAATCAACAAATAAAGTTCGATTAATATTTTATTATGAGTGGAGTTATCTAGGGACTGTTTTATTTTTAGATTTCTATAACTATTTGTTGTTTCATTATTGTCGATATCTTATTTCTACATGTTTATATATGCTGCCTCTTTTTCATGGTTCAGCCAAAAGTCTATCTGAAATAACCTCTCTCCTATCTTCAGCCAAAAGTCTATTAGAAATAACCTCTCTACTTTCTCAAGATAGGATAAGATATGCGTATACTCTATCCTCCCCTAGACTCCACCTATGAGACTAGTTTGTTATTGTTGATAATTGCAATTGACACCTTTGTAAATGTTTCTTGTTTAAGATCTGTGTCAATTTAGAATATAGACATGGATTGGTGATTGTTGGACCTTTGAATACTTAACATCTTTTTTTGATTGACCTTCTGCTTCTTTAATTCACGAGCATCAAATTATCATTGTTGTTAAAGTTACTAAATGAATCTGATTTATTCTAATTCAATTTAAGAAGAAAAAAAACCACGCATTTTAATTAGGATCTGAAGTAAAATTCCCGACTCAAAATCCTGCATCTATCACTACATACAAGTATAGCCACTACAAGAAAGTAGAGATACAACGACATTTATTTAGTGAAAAAAAGATTTTTTTCACGTTTATTAAAAAATGTCACAAAAATAACGACATTTGATACAAATGTCATAGAAACAACCACATTTTGTTGCAAATGTTGTAAAAGCAACAACATTTAGTGGCAAATGTCATAGTGTTAGTCGCTAATTACTGACATTTACACCTAATATTGGAAATCTAAATCATATTAAATCAAGGCTAGACAACAAGCAATGTAGGTAGCCAGGTACATTGAAACAATTAAGTATACATTTTTCTCAAATGAGCTGATTAGTTACTGTTAATTGATCTTTAAATAGCTTCAGAAACTCTTAGGAACATGGTTTTCCAAGAGCTGAAGCAGCTGAATCGATATGAAGAAGTAAACACGCGTAGAGTTTTTGCTTCAATCTGTCAACTGTCTCAGCAACATCTTTATTCAAAGTTGATTTACTCTGTAGCTTGTCCAACCAGTCATTGGCATGTTTAAGTTGTGACAGAGCGAGAGCAATTTGGTTGTTTGTATCCGTTTGTTGTACAACACGTGTTTTCTTTTTGTGTTCTTGTTCACTCAGTTGGAAGCCAACATCCAGTGCTTCGTCCATGAATTTAAGAAACCAGGATTGCATTTCATTAAACAGAACATCTCTTAACTCCTTAATGCCTTTGGAACCGTCTCCTTTTGCCCATTCTACCTTTTCAGACACAGAAATTTCGATCAACGACTTAGGGGTATTTTTAGTATCGTTCAAGGAACGTGTCTTCTTGCTTGATTTCTCCTTGTCTTGTAAAGATAATTTTGAAGCAAAGTTATCTAGGATTTGTTCATTTGTCTTGTTAGTATTATTCGGTTGATCCATGAGTTGGTTGAGTGTGAAAAATTTGGACAAATTTAGATGAGGGCTCTCTGGTGATGCAGATGAGCATAGTTCAGCAAACATGCTGAAAAGAAAAAAAAGTGAAGACATGTAACTTGATACGAAAACAACCCTTTGATATGCACAATGACATGTTACGACTGAGTTAACGTTGTACTTACCTGAAGCAATGAAGAAGATTGGTTGCTGTCAATGCTTCTTCTTGAGCTTCTGCTGCTATTAAAGAAGCTAACTTTTTCCTTCTAAGGATCCCCTTATTATAATGACGAAAAAAACAACAACAAAACGTAAGTACATTTGGATCATGTTGATTCGAGGTCTTCTTTAAAATCATATAATCTTACAAAGACTCTTTTTTTTTTCATTTGATGCATTATTATGAAAAACAATGGAATGAATTGTTAAAGGAGAACGTGAAGAAACAAGTATACCTTCCCTGGCTTTGCGAGGTTGGCTGGTAGAGAGGACCAAGGTATGAGTGTTTCGGAAAATGGACCGTTCTCTCTAATGTTTTCTGGTTTGCTGCTGGTGCGTTTTAGAGTTGAAAACCTTGGAGTTGTCGAAAGTTCCCTGCTATTAAGCACATTGACATCTGAGTTTGGAGAAAATGCATCAGAACGACTCCGAGAAGGAGTTGTAGGCTGTGTCTGAAATTAAAAAGCAGAAAAACTCATCAGCAAACTTGTTCTATAGAAGAAAGCATATAATACAAGTTTTATTTGTCTTACCTTCGATGTAAGTTTGTCGTTCAAAAAAGAAAGAATGGTCAAAAACACACCTGAAGTATCATGTTTTTGCGAGTTTCCTACCTGAAATATCATGTGTTCACTTTACCTATTTATCAAATATGCTTCAACTATTAGTTGTTCCCTTTTCCTCCCTGTATGATGGTGTTATTTCAGGTAGGAAAAGGGAACAACGATAGTTGAGATGTGTTTTGATAAATAACTCGGAATAATTCAGGTAGGAAAAAAATAAACACGTGATACTTCAGGTGTGTTTTTGACTATTAACTCTTCAAGAAATAGTTAAGCAATAGCAAAATTTCAGTTCTGATGCACAGGCTGTAAGGAATTGGTTTGATAAGTGACTACAAACATTAAACTTTCAACTAATAGAACAGTTATCTTTTAGTCCTAGAATACAAATTTTGCAAATTTAAGCAAATTTTTATGTCAGAATATTCGATTCCTCATCTTACAAGAACGACTTAAAATGGAAGTTCTTATATTTACAAGTTAAATGTGGTTCTGATGTATAATCTGTGATGCAGGATCATCATACCTGACTTTTAACCTCTGGTTGTTTTCCTTTCAAATGTACAACCTTGTGATCTGCTCCGTTACTCTCATTTTCAACGCCTTTTGCACCAGTACCTTGATCATTTCCACCAATCTTTGCATTCTGGTTTGACACACCTTGCATATACCTGGATGCAACAACCGCCTTTTCCTCTTTAATAACAAATTTCTTCTTCTTCTCATTCTCCTTTTTCATTTCAGGCAATTCATTCAACTTTGGACCAGTAGTACTATTTTCCTGATCAGGTACCTCAGATTGTTCCAACATTTGCATCAGATCCTTCGGGTTGCCAACAAATGGATGTCGCCCTGGAATTGGCCTCACGCCAACTAAGACTGGGACCGGTGTTCCAGCCTCCATTTTGTCAACATAGAAGAACTGGCCAAGTTGCAATTTGTTGTTCAAAATGAACTCATTGTCTTCTTTTGACAGTGTAACATAGGTCGAATGAGAAGAATCGGAGACTTTAATAAAGAATCCATGGTTTGGCCACAGTTCTGAACCACTCAACGCGGGGACAATGCTGATTACTTGTAAAAGTACTGATCTATACTCCCCGCGAACTTTTACATTGGAGTTCATACTCTGTAGAAGCTTAATCAGTACTTCTGGTACGAGAGACGCCATCTTTCACCTAAAACATGTTGCAAATTCACGTTAACAAAATTGAATCAGCCAAATCAAGAAGGTCCTTTCAAGAAGAGATAATGGTCAAAAATACACATGAAGAATCACTTTTTTGCGAGTTCCCAACCTGAATTATTACCAACTATTTATCAATATATCCATCGAAATTAATGA